TCATTTCCATTCTCTAACTAAGGAAAGTGAAGGCCAGTAAGTTTTCTCTCAACTCTCCTTTCTGTTAACTACACTGTGGAAAAAAAGAAAAAAAAAAAAAAGGAGAGTTAATATTTGCCAAATCCATTAATGAGTATATTCCACCTCATGGGTAATTTAAAACAAGAATGCTATTATTGTGACCAAAAGTTATAGAAAGCGTCTCAATTCTACCATTTAAAAATGAGACTTCGTGTGTTCAAAGACTCCTTGAGTTATGTATAAATGGTAAATAGAAATCCATATTGTTTCAGGTCTGATTCTACATCTGCTAATTGGATTTCCATGTATGGATTTAGTAAGGCAATATTCATGTTCTTAAGTAAACATCTCTCTGAATGTGTGCATATGTCAAGGCTGATTTTGCTTTTAATGGGCAGAATCAATAACTACAGCAAAGAGCGGCCAAGTTGACATTGTAAAAGTCATCTAGGTTATAAAGGAAGAACTTTATATTCGTAGCTATTTTAGCAACAGCCTGGGAACTAATGGAAAGAAAACAGAACTGTCGAATTCTAAAGGTCTTCCAAGGGCAGGGATTCATCATTGTTGCTTCTAACAGGAATCCCCACATTATTCCATACTATTCTGTTTTATATCTAATTCCTGGCTGACAAGTGTCCGTTTTTCATGCTTATTCATTTGTCACCCTTGTATTCTCCCTGCCTGCAAGGCATCCGGCCTGCCTTCCATCACATATCCAAATGATAAAGGATAGGTTTTGCTGTGGCCACCCTCAGCTTGCAGGGTAATATGGAAACCCCCAGCATAATATATGCTACGCTCACTATGCGACGCAAAAGCTAGGTAACAGGCCTTATGGCAGGAATTAAAATTGGTTTTCAGAAAGCAGTATAGCCTAGTTGGAGGTAGGGGGTTAAATGTGAGATTATTTTAGAAACTACATATTTATAGAGAGTGTAGAAGTCAAATATTAGAATAAAACATTCGTATCATCTTCGATCATGGCTGTCCTAAACCTGTCTCTTGAAATCAGTGCTTCTATCCATCCCCATTCTCAATTAGGAAACCAGGTTTTTCAAGATGCACCTTCTTATTGCAGGGATTTGGAAACTGTGCCAAAAAGTACACCCTGTCCAAGGAAGTACTGTGCAGCACCCTGCCCTCTGACCATCGCCCCTTAAAGCTGCTGCTGCTTTCTATCACCACAACATGCTGAAAATGATTATAGATACTCCTAAGGGTCCTTGCCCCAATTCTCTCAAGCCACCTTCATACACTTTGACTTCTATTCCCTTCTCATGCCTCAGTTTTCAACCCAACAACTTCCTCTCCCCTTTGAGTAATTTGCTGCATTTGTCTCACTGACCTTCCCATTAAAACTGACACTTAGGGCCTGGCATTGTAGCCCAGCAGCTAAAGTTCTCACCTCACAAGCTCCTGGATCCCACATGGATGAAGGTTCAATTCCAGGTGGCCCTGCTTCCCATCCAGCTCCCTGCCTGTGGCCTAGGAAAGCAGTTGAGGACAACACTAAGTTTTGGGACCTCGACCCATGTGGGAGACCCAGAAGAGGCTCCAGGCTCCTGGCTTCGAATTGGCTCTGCTCCAGCCATTGCAGTTGCTTGGGGAGTGAATCATTTAGGAGGCCCAACACAGTGATAGCCTAGCAGCTAAAGTCCTTGCCGTGCATGCTCTGGGATTCCATATAGCTGCTGGTTCTAATTCTGGCAACCCTGCTTGCTATCCAGCTCCCTGCTTCTGGCGAGGAAAGCATTTGAGGATATCCAAGGCCTTGGAACCCTGCACCCATGTGGGAGACCCAGAAGAGGTTATGGGCTCTGAACCCTTGGTTTTGAATGGGTTCAGCTCCGGCTGTTCTGTGGCTTGGGGAGTGAGTCAAAGGATAGAAGATCTTGCTCTCTGTGTCTCCTCCTCTCTGTGCATCTAACTTTCCAATAAAAATAAAATTAATCTTTTCAAAAAAGACTGACACTTACGCTTGTAGACTTTTTCTCCACCCTGTGTCATCTTTTCTGGCAGTGTTTCCTCTTAACTGTCCATGTCCTCTTTTATTTATAGGGCAGTCCCTGCCCTGGTGATGTCGTCTTTTTCCTGGGCTTCAGTGCAAAGTGCAGGAAGTCCTACCAGGACTTCTTTTTCAAGCCTTGAACCATTGGCTCTCCACTGGTGATTATGGTCGGAGAGTGCCATTCTGGAGACACTAGTAGTTACACTTGAATCCAGTGAGCAGTCTTGGGATACAAAATATTCAACTATTCAAAAAAGCAGCCCACAGTAAAGAACTATCCAGCATCCAAAGCTAATAGTATTGAAGTGTAGAGGTCATGATTACAGGGCTGACATTCAGTGTAGTGGACAGTGTCATCACCTGCAATGCTAGCACATAACACAGGGGTCAGTTCATGTTGTGGTTACTCCACTTACAATTCTGCTTACTGTTGATAGATCTTGGAAAATGGTAGAAGGTGGCCCATGTGCTTCTGCTTCTTGTCCCCCATGTGTGGGACCCAAATGAAGGTCTTGATTTTGGCCTGGCTCAGTCCTGGCTGTTATGGCCATCCAAAAATAAATCAGTAGATGCAAGAATCTCTCTCTCTCTCTTTCTTTCTCTCTCTCTCTCTCCTCACCCCATAACTCTGATTTTGAAATAAATGACTCCTTTTTAAAATGTGATATAGACTTCCTAGATGTTTCCACTAGAAGATGGTACAGATAACAATAATCTGAACTGTAACAAAATCAATGTGTTATCTGTCTCACTACTTCTTTGCCCAACTTATTACTATTATATTTGGCATTGGTACCAACTCAATAGCACAGTACTTAATAATATTGTTTTATTCTTGTCTCCTGGGACTCTCCAAAGACCTAGGTCTTCCTGCTGGTAGGTTATCTTTGAAAAACTTTCTTACTCCTCCTCTTCACGCTCACTAGCTGAGTTCAGGTTCTCACCATCCCTCCAGATCTGTTCAAAGAGGTCCCTGACTACGTTTCCTCACCTCAGCTCAATCCATTGGCCACTCTTAGACGAATATGATGTCTGTGTTCCATGCTTTGCTTAGAATGCCTTGATGGTTTGGCATTCCTTAACATGGCAGAATGGCTTTCATAAACAGACCTCACCCTACCTGATCCTGATCCTTTTAAGTTCTGTGCCTTTCATGTCTTTATGCTAAGTAACTAATAGAATGTCTGCCATATGAAGATATGGCATATGTTAAGTGGAATTTCTTTGACTATGTGGATACATATTTGTCTGGCCTGTCTGTGCTCAGTCCTTCTTTTGTGATATTCTAATTTAAATGAGTAAGTCACCATATATTTAATCTAAGAGCTAATTCCAGCCATTGTCTTCTCCCACCCCTATATCAGATGGGAGTTCCCAAGGATCATTTTTCAAAAGCTAGATAAACTTGTCAAGAACATTTTATCCCATAAAATTATTCATTGCTGGTCATTTTATTGGTATCTGTTGTTTTGCCAGAATTTTTATCTTAATATAGATAAAAAAACAACAATGAGAAATTGCCCTATCATTAGAGAAAGGTTTTAGTGTTTATGTTGGAAGGACATAGATTAAACAAAAAAAGATATTAGAGGAATGTGTGGGTTTGTAAAATACTTAAAAACCAGTGTTCAACAGTTTGAATGTAGCATCAATTATTTTGTCATAAAATCTTGGGCATCTGTTTAATGTGGTTCTCATATGCAAGTCAAGACATGGTTTGCATAGCTTTCAAATCATTAACTGTGTACTCTAGATGTTCACTTCTACCACTTACTCATTTTCTTAATAATCAGAAATTCTGCCACTATGTAGGGAATCTCTTGTCTTAACACAGATCATGTAGATCTGTAATGTTTGTTATAATCCCTATAATCTTATAAGATTTTCTTCTGTGTTTTTCCAGTTGGATCTTCCAGTAAGGATAAGTTAGGATTAAATTTGGGGAATGTTTGGGTTTAACTCATTGGTTCAATAGGCTGCAATGGTGTTCTCTGAGTCTTCGGTCATTATCAAGGCTATGGGATGAAAAGACACGGTATTCATTTTTAGTTAAAACTACCGGATAAAATTTCAGGCACTTTTATTAGAAGACTTTTAATTATATGTGAATTTTTAATAATGTAAGCTTTATGAACAATATTTCACCTTAGAAATTTAGTAAAAATGTTTGGAGAATTTCAGATCAAACAATTAAAACAGAGCAGTAATTAGTTTACAAAGATGGTTCAGTTAAGTCTGTCAAAGTGTGTGCCCACAATGTGTTCAGGATGGTTTCCAACACGTTTGCATCCATCAATAGCAGTTTCTAAAACTCTACTACATATGTCTATAATAACTCTCACAATTCCAACCAAAAACACAACCAGATCTTTAAAAAGAAATTATTGATCTAATTGAAAAACGGTCACTTACCTAGAAATGCCAATGCCTCTGGCCTCTTTCCAATGAAAACGCCCTTCTGCCTTGTGCTCCAGTCATCTGTGTAGGTCACATTCTCTCCCTGAAGACACCAGCACTTTATTTCCCACTCTGAAACAGAAACTGGCTTTGGAATTATTCGTGCAAAAGATTCTGAAACTACTGCATCTTGAATAATATCCATTCTGAAAAAGGAGAACAATATTTTTGTCTGTATGAGACATGAAAATGAGTGTCTTTTGATTAAAAATGACCTTCATTGTTGATTACTAGAGAATATTAAAAAATGCAATCAATGAGTTTCACTAATGGCTCAAGTGGATACTCAGACTACAGTTGCAGTTTGAAGTTGATATAACTCATGACTGGTGAAATTCATAATTTTTACCACATAAAATATAACCACTAGGATTATGGTATGATGCTAGGAACACATGGTTTTAAATACTATAGAGACATAAGCTACTAAACTGCAATTCTATGTTTTGTACTTCCTATGAATGGATAAATGTGACTTAGTTGACACTTGTTTCATACTTCTGCTTTCCAGATCTGCGGAAGACATTTGAGCAGGAACCCCTGGGAAAGGAAGTATCCTTGGAACAAGAAGTCTTACTCCAGTGCCGGCCACCTGAAGGGATCCCAGTGGCTGAGGTAACAATTTTTTTTTTCAATTTAGCAATTGGCAATTAGTTATTCTAACAGAGGCCTAACCCATGGCTAATGGTGCAGTGAATTAGGGTATGGTGTGATGAATGGCCAGTAATGGAGTCCTAACTGCCTACTGCTAGCAAAATTGATTGATTGGGACGTGATTAATGACATGGAGTCAATTAGAATACCCTACTGGGCAAAACCACAGGCAGCTTAGTTTAACATTTTCATTTTTTCAAAAAATCATAAAGATTTTGATACTAATCTAATAGTCTGGTACCAATCATAGAAAGACATGGTATGATTTTATGCACCAAAAAATTGTTCATTAGTCCTGATGACTTGGAAAAAGTATAAGAATATGAAGGCTGTATATGTGTGTGTGTGTGTGTGCATATGTGTCTATAAACCTGTGTACCACACACATGAATTTCCTGTTCTATGATGTAATGATAGACCCCAGACATGCATTTTCTGACCAATGATGCAATCATGATGCTTCCTAAAAGCCATGTGCACACACAGTGAGTAAAAGACACTTGAGGGATAGCAGTTGTCCATTAATTTGGTCTCATAAACTTTGGATCGAACCTTTCTTTTTTTCTTTTTTTTCTGCTGAAACAAAGCCTATTTAGTGCTACTTAAGTCCTGTACACTCGATTCACACTACAGCTCCACAGTACAACCAGAGAGTACTGTGTCCTTTGAAACTGCCTTTCTCTGGTGGTGGGTTTATAGGACTCTCAAGTGACTGCGCGTTTTGGCACAACATCGTAGAGCACCCTGTTGCAGCAAATTAATTTTGTGTCTTCCATTTGTTAACAAATAACCTCAAACTCTAAGGAGAAGCTGCCTTTATACGTTTAATACATCAGATTCTTTATATGCATGCAAAGTATTACCCTAACTGATCTAGTGTCCTATAAACCCAGGTACACTTTATAATTTGACAAGTGAAGTAGCTGCCAATTTGTAGGTGGTCATTGTTAGCCTCCAAATTACCTTGAATCATTTGGAAATTTTTTTTCTTTACTGCATATGTTGAAAGAGGTATATTTCTGTTGCAATTTGGACCTATATGTGGGTCTCAGAGATGGGTGAGTTGACTTTTTTGTAAAATTAATGCCTGAAATTCCTCCTTTCTGTGGAATTTCATAATGATATTGAGACATTGTCCAAAATGTGATTAATAATGCACCTCTGATTTGATTTCTCAAAGTTATTCGACCTCCTAGAGATTAAAGCAAAGATGATAGCTCAATTATCTGCATCCATGGCAACAAAATCAAAGATCACATCATTCTTTCCAAATTAATAGTAAAATAATAAATTAATTGAAAACATTGACAAAACCTCTATAAATGGCTCCATTTTTCTATCAAAGACATTCGTAGTGCCACGAGTCAGTGCCAACACTCATAGCTAATCTTAATGAAAATTCCTTTTTAAACTTGTGAAAGAAAGACATTCAGTTTTTGCCTTATAATTGCTTTCTTTTAGCACTCTCCAGAATTGTACCAGAGCCTTTGCTTGATTACAGCCATTTCATGAAATGCCAAGTCCTCATCTTTCAGTGGGGAGACACAGTATGATTTAGTGTGCCTAGGAAGGAAAGTCTTCACTATTCAATATTTCATTTCAGTGACTACAGCAGTTCATCTGTCTCCTTAATTGTAGTTCTGAAATCTTAATGCAAACCTCGTGCAATAAACTATCTTAAATACCAAAATACATCATGAGTTACATGGTTATCCAGAGTCTCACTTAGTCAAGGTTTCTTAAAGGTAGCTAAAATGTGCCAAGTGATAAAATTCTGGTAACTTCTTCATTTTCTTCATCTCCTCAACAAAGTAGTGCACAATGTCAGGGAGTAAGATTCATGACTGCACACTAATTGGCTATGAATTTTATTTGTATCATCACTGGGGACGAGACCAATTAACACTTGGCAAGCTCAAAAATCATATGCCCATTTGACATTCAAAGTACTATATTTAATGCATATTACTTTTCTATTTTTTGAAGTTAGAAGAGAGATCAAACACACATTCTCAAGAGCAGGCTAATAAACTCCTGTGTAGATTCTTTTCAACACTGAAAATCACCAAGATCAGAAAGTTAATGAATACCTTAACATGACATATTACATCTGCCATTTCCTCAAGAGGAACAAATACATTTTAAAAAGAAAGGGATATAGGGTAAATTGGTGAGTTAAAAGATTACATGAACATGTTAATTTAAATATAAATGCATGCATGATTTAGTGTTCTGTTTCCATTTTAAGAATTCTAAGTCATAAAATAGCATGAAATGAGATGTTGATCTTAAAAGGAAACCAGCAGGTAAAACTCCACTATTTTACAGTAATTAGGCTCAATCTTTAAAACATCATGACCAGACTGAATATGTGCTTCTTTTGTTTCTAAGTAAATGATCTGAAATTGAGTCAGATAGCAAGTATTCAGGGAACACATGGCTAATGAGTCCATTGATCTTTGTTTTATAAGCATATATCTAACTCCACTCAAAACCAATTGGGTACATGCTTTGTGCAAAATTAAGAAGCAGTAGTTTTCTTCCTCTGTCTAAATCAGTAGGTTCAGATTCTCTAATCGTAGTTATAATAGTTTCATTTCTGGAACAGATAATGGAGTAGGCATTTCTGAAGTAATGGTTTGTTTCTCTCATTTAAGAAGTCTATATCTCCACTGCAGAATATTAACTTGTTACAAAACTCAGGTTCAAATGTAAGCATCACCATTTGTGACTCTGAACTTGAGCTTACTCAGATTATGAAAAGCAGAAAATAACTGCATATGCAGAACATAGAAATGAGGTTTAAATGAAATGATGTATACCTGTTATTTGAAGCAAAGTAGTGAAAGAACATTCATATTCATTAGTACTATTATCATTTCCTCACTTACTAAATCATAAAAGACTAAATTCAGCCTTTCAGTTTCCAATTAGTGCTGACTCTCCTCTTGCCTCTCTTTTTGGCACAGTAGAACATGTGCAACGCAGCTTTCACTTGATGAAGAGTCATCAAGCAGGTCAACCTCCTATTTTCTTTAGCCAGTTGTGTTAGTCAGAGTCCATAAATGCTGCAAAACCGAGTACTGTGAGCCTTAAAGCAAGGAAATGCCTATTCCACATTGCGCTCAGGAATTGTTTCTGTAAATGCCTAAACCATGCATGCTATCAGGCTTACTTCTAGCTCCTGTTGTTGCTTTTGTCTTCCTAGTCCCACCAGCCCCATACCTCACATTTTTCTCCCAAGGAGGAAATTTGGGTAGAAGTCACTGTTGATTGACCTCCTTTTCAGAATGCAAGAAGAGAGGTAACAAAGAAACTCTCAGGGGAAGCAAAGGTCAACCCAGGATTCCCCACACTCCACCTTTCCCACTAGTGACAGTTTCAAATGCTCTTCACTACACTCATTCAGGAAAGTGACATTGTGGGGACCTCATCTTAGGGCCCTGGGTCTGCCTGCTTCTTCCCCTGCTCTTCTCTAAACCTCTTTTAGTAATATAGTGATAATGGTCAAAACGCTGAATAACTTTCTTAGCTCATAAGCAGAGTTTTGGAAGTCTAGAAATTCTTCTGCTGAATCAGATTAAATTCGTCTGGCTCCTCGGTCATGGGGGACACAAAAATTCCATTGGAACAAGCCAGGGATGAGGGCTGGAGGGCCTAGTTGCTCTGTGACACATTCAGAACTATCTCAGTTTTTGACACCCGGTATTGAGGACCCCAGCATGACTAAATGGCAGCTCCTACAGGCCACAACTTGTGTAGCTGTGACACTGCTTCTGTTGACACAAGTTTACTCTTCTGCCTGCCTATCTAGATGGTATGGAGCCAAAGGATTATTGCTGGATTTTATCTGTCACATCAGCAGCTTGTAGGTCATGTAGTAGAGGCTCTAAATATATTTAACAATATGAAAGCAGTGCTTTTGTTGGACATGCTACAGAGGCTGGGTCTCAGGAAATAGAACTTTCTAGAAAACCATGTTTCCCTCACCCCTGAGGGACAATATCAGTCTTACACCCTGAAGCTAGGGTTCTAACCCACTGGCACCAGGAACAGAAGGTCACTGAGAGATGCTTTAGTTTAAGGATTATCAGTGAGATTAATAGTAGTAATGCTGATTTTTTTAAGTAGACTAAATGAAAAAAAAAGATCAATCCAAGTAATACTCTAGTCTTTTTTATAGCACTGTATTAAATATGAAGCTAGAAATATAATACTATTCTTCCACTTGTAGTGAGGAAATTTCATGAAACCTCCTCCACATGTCCCTGAAGAAACACGAAAATTAATATACCCGTGGAGTGGTGCTAAGCTGTACCAACAGCGTAATAGTGGTACTCTGTGAAATTAAGCCCTCTTTGCTCATTTTAGTTTCTGCCTAGAAAACATTACTGTCACATGATGAGCCAGAAATAAACTCACTGATGTTTTATTTCATAAGATTTTCTCCTTTGAAGAGTATTAGGATCTAAACATCAATGGATACAAGATTTGTCAGCATGTGAGAAGGAGCACAACCAAATTTTTCACTAAAACTTGTGATTTGTTTCACCTTTAACAAGGGGATAATTGCTTCTCTAATTATAATTGAGCTATTTCTCATTGGAGTTTAATTGGAGGAGCAGGGCACAGTGTTCAACTTATTGACCCAGTTGTGCTTTAAAAAAGTCATCTTATTTATCAACATTTGCATCTCTAATTAGCAAGTGGGAAAAATGGGTGATGTGCGAAAGAATCGCTTCTTTTGCTGAATATAGACATGATAAATAGGAAGATCTCTTTTTTTTAAACTTCTTCTGCCAAGGCACAAAGCTGCAGGCAGTGTGAGGTGCCACAAAGTGCAGCATCAGGTGGCTCACAACCTAAATGGTTTGTTAATACAGCTGCTGAACACCTTCTTGCATGAGAACCATTTGTTCCCCTACCATGCTCTCATAACTGGAGCTTCACATCTATGAATT